GCCCCTACTACATCTCACTTCTCCTCGCTTTCAGTTTTCAAATAGATTTGATTGTATAATGGGAGAATGACTTTTGATTTCTGAGTGGCAAGTTACCGAAACTGAGTTTCAATTTAGGTGCACACAGGTACAGTTGGTATTTTGAATTAGCCATAAAGTGATGCTTTTTCATTAGATTATTTCAGAAACTATCATATCTTAATTATTGATTGAAAATGAAATTTGATAACTGCAAAGAAATGAAGCATGACATTGTGCATTTAACATGTGGCAAGAGCATTGCAAAACACCGAAAAATTTAGCTGTTCGTAGTAATAAAGAATGTTGAGAAATACTACGCTCTACGCTTTTCTTAATCACTTGTTAATATAATAATGGTCATCAGTATGATCATCCTACCTGAGAATAAATAAGAATTACGGAGTCTGATCATAAAATTAAGCCCTAAATTCATCCGTTTAAATTATGCATAGAAATATATCAAGCATCAAAATTGAAATATTCATGGCATTCAACCGATCGTGATTGTATAAGTCTTATTCATTCATAACTGGTTTAAATTTTTTCATGGAATAATTTTAGTTTGATCAAAGTAATTTGTTTTCTATATTTTCAATATGTTTTTACCTGCCGTAAGTAACTCCAGAGAACTTGCATTAATACTTCTTTAATAACGTGATAAGATAAATACTGCCAATAGTCAAAATTTCCGCTTTCATTCTGTCAATAGCGGTGATTTTGCGAAACGAAGATTCACTTCAATTTTAACAATTATCATTTATCAAATACTTTCAAATTTCATCAAAGTAATAAATGAATTGATATTTTTGGAAAAGAAAAATAAAATTTGAAGAAATGATGAATATATAATAAATCCCATTTAATTTACCTTTATGTGCTTCTATTTTAAACATTAGAATTTCTCAAATTTCAAATGAACAGAATAGAATATGAGAAAATTGATTTAATTAAAAATTTATAAATTTTCATCCCTTTTTTTCTTCTTCTCTCTTTCTGTTGCTTTTGAAAAATAAGGATAATGGTATAATTTGTAGTAGAAATTCATAAATTAAAATAAAACATTATTGTTTCGTTATTTCTGACATCTGTCAAAACGAACACATCAACAACAAATGAATAAATATGCTTCATTATCAAACGAAATGATTACCCATATGTTCTCTATAATATTTTTATAATTGCGCAGAAAATTCTTAACTACCAAGAATTTGATATTTAACAGGAATTGTTAGATTTATCAGTTAGATGAAAAAGATCGAAGAATGCTTTTAAATATGATAAAATTGCGGAAGAATGAAAGAGAGAGAGAGGTTTAGTTATCAAGTTATCAAATGTATCCTTCGAATAACTAACGAATATAATTAACAAATGCAAATAATCATTACAAATTAATATAAAAGATAAGCATGTTTAAACAAAAAAGGAAAAAGCTAATGTGTAGAATAGCAATTATATGATGAATTAAGTGTAGAATACTGAAAAGAGATAAATGAATTAATAAAATTTAAATTTTGAAGATTTTAAAATTTTAACCAACTCTTTTTCTCTTTCTCTTTTTGCTTTAAAAATGAAAAGAATTAGAGTTTAAAGGTCGAAAAGTTATTTTTTTATCTAACTCCTCTTTCCAATTATCATTCTTTAAAATTTTAAATATCAAAGTTAAACAAAGATTTCTAATCATTTCAAATTTAAATTGTTTAAAAAGTATTCTAATCATTTTTACGGAACTTTGTTTGTGCTCTCAGACTACAAATGTTATCACTGATAACGTTCGCAAATGATTTAGGGAAAAGAAAAGAGGAGATGATAGAGAATGAAAGTTTTGAAATGAACTATTTGTTTAGTTATTTGAAAAAAAAGAACAACGCTTTGAAAATATTAAATAAAATCAAACATCGAAGATTGTATCATTAAAAAATAAACAATTCTAAAAAGTTAAATTTTAAGAAAAATTAATTAAGAGAGGAAAAAAAAAATCAATAGAGGTAGTAAAAATGAAAAAACTTCAAATAATTACTAAATTTAAAATTATCGAATTTAAAAGCTCTTTGATTTATTCGCAAATAATTTTACTGATACTATATGAGTGCTAATATTTAGAAATCAAATTTATCAATTTGGTAGAACCGGAAATTTCATATCTTATCTTAATATCCTAAATGTTACAACCATATGAGATATAGTTAGAAAAAAATCTTCGCTAATAATATAATCAGTAAATTCGCCTCATACGTGTGCTTCTCGTCTTACAACTGGTGCAATATTATTGCAAATATTTTGATCCTGTAAAATTATCATTATAATTTGATAAAAAAATTTAGAGAATACCAAAAAGGAATCTCAATATGAATATATTTAACTGAGAGAAAAAAATTCCAATAAATAAAAAATCTATAAAATCGATCGATAACCTATCTTTAACTATTATGCATTTTCGCAAAAACTATCATTGAGCTATGAATTTTTTGAGAAATTTAACTTTTAATTGTTATTTACCTCAATTGGTTCTTCGAATGTTGTGGTACGTGAAGAAAAGCCACTATCTCTTGTCGTAGCTTTAATTTTACTACGCTGCCATTCATCATGTTCTCGAGATAGTAATGTCTTATTTGGATGCGTTCTATACGTTGTACTGTACGTGTTTCTAACGTGACGTCGATTACGTGATATCAGTTTTGCTTTATTACAATTTTCCATCCTATAACCCAATTTACAATGATGTTAGAATAATTTAGAATATTATGATGTAAATTTCATGAAATTTTTAGAACTTTAAATAATAATTTTTCAAATTTCTAAAAATAATAATTACTTGATACGATGTTTGAATTCGTTGGTACGTTTTCCGTACATTTCACGTCAGATATCTCATATGAATTAATCAATACTTTAAATTTAACAAATAAGGTTAACAATAACTAACGTCGTAAATATGATAACAAGTACAATGATGAAGATTATTGCAATACCAAGAAGACAGCCAAGTACAATAGTCCAAATACGGAATGTTGGTGAGACGAGATTCTGTTAAATTTTCATAAATTTAAAAAATTATTAAACAATTTTCAAAAATAATGAAAAATGAAAATTTCTTTCAAAAGAAACAATTAAGAAAGATAAAAAGTAATTAAATATTTTGTGAAATTTTTTGTTGCAAAATTCTTACGTTAAAATAAATTTAATTTTTAAACTGAAAAAAGTTTGAATTGAATAATTAAAATAGCATAAATGAATTTGTATTAATTTTTCAGTAAATTTATGAATGTAAATTTTTTGCTGTTATTTTTATCAATACAAAAAATGAATGAATGTTAAAAGTATACAATCGTAAATTAATTAAAAAAAATAATTAACTAAAATAATTGGATCAATGTTCGATGTATTACATTTCGTTTGATTCGTTGCTAAACCATATGGGCATGGTGTACAATTAAATATCTAAAATGTTATCAAAATAAAATTTGAAAAAGGACAAAATCATAATTTAGTTGAATTGATTGATAATGATAACAGTGTATCAGAGTAAGAAGCAAATAATACGTGATAAAAAGAATTATTAAAATTTAATTAAAAATTTTTAATAAATAACCTTTCTTGAATCGCTTGCATATTTGCAAGAATGTTTCATTCCTGTAATGATTGATATACATACTGCATGCAAATTGTTAGTTGATGCTGGTTTGCATTTCAGATCACAATCTGGACCATATTTATTATCTATACATTGAACATAGTATGAAAGTTGCAAACTGAAATTTGCTACTATTCAAATTGACAATAAAATTTAAGTTTGAAATTCATATAACTGAAGAATTTCCTGAATAATATACGATTAAGTTCTATTGCTATTAAAATTATCGTTTTATTTAAATTTTTAAACAATCAAATTTTTAAATTTAATTTTTGAAGAAGTGAAAAAAAATTGCTTCATCGATATATTTCAATGTAATAATTATATTATTTATAATAAGCTATCGTGATTTATATTTGTATATGTATATGTATGCAACAATATGTTTCAGTTATTATTTCATGAGAATATAATTCTTTATTTAATCATTTAATTCATCGTTAATTTTATTCCTAAAATTTTTGTTCATATTTTTAATGACGAAATTTTACAACTATAAAATTTTTGTTCATATTTTTGATGACGAAATTTTACAACTATAAAATTTTTGTTCATATTTTTGATGACGAAATTTTACAACTATAAAATTTTTGTTCATATTTTTGATGACGAAATTTTACAACTATAAAATTTTTGTTCATATTTTTGATGACGAAATTTTACAACTATAAAATTTTTGTTCATATTTTTGATGACGAAATTTTACAACTATAAAATTTTTGTTCATATTTTTGATGACGAAATTTTACAACTATAAAATTTTTGTTCATATTTTTGATGACGAAATTTTACAACTATAAAATTTTTGTTCATATTTTTGATGACGAAATTTTACAACTATAAAATTTTTGTTCATATTTTTGATGACGAAATTTTACAACTATAAAATTTTTGTTCATATTTTTGATGACGAAATTTTACAACTATAAAATTTTTGTTCATATTTTTGATGACGAAATTTTACAACTATAAAATTTTTGTTCATATTTTTGATGACGAAATTTTACAACTATAAAATTTTTGTTCATATTTTTGATGACGAAATTTTACAACTATGAAATTTTTGTTCATATTTTTGATGACGAAATTTTACAACTATAAAATTTTTGTTCATATTTTTGATGACGAAATTTTACAACTATGAAATTTTTACAATTGACAAAAAGAAATCTACAAAAGTATTCTAAAAATTCGCTAATTTAATAGAAATGAAATTTTGATTATTAAATAATATAAAATAAGTAAATGAATAAAATAGAAATGAACAAACGTTGTTCCTAAAATTTGACCAATAATTGTTTGTTGTATGATATTTGGTGTAGTACCATATGATGTTGCCTGATAATTATCTAATGAAATAACAAATGTATCAATTGGTATTAAATGATTGAAATATTTCAAACTTCCCGTTGCTTGATTGATTACTACGCCAAGATGATGAATAATGATATCAATTGTATTCTGAAATTATTCGTACTTTTACTAAAACTTTTTTTTTTTTCATTTTTAGTAATTTTGAAATATATAAAAAGATGCAATTAAAAATTTAATTTTTTAAGGTTTAATTAAAAAACAAATTAAAACAATTATTTATTTCGTTTCATTTCTAAAATTTGTTATTGCAAAATGAAATCACAAAAAAAAGAATGAAATTATTTTACGGATCAAATATTTTTCATTTTGCAATTTTTATTTCGAATTAAAAAAAGAGCCATACCGGTTTAACTGTTATTTTAGATTAAAAAGATGAACCGTACCGGTTTAACTGTTATTTTAGATTAAAAAGATGAACCGTACCGGTTTAACCGTTATTTTAGATTAAAAAAATGAATGAACCGTACCGGTTTAACCGTTATTTTAGATTAAAAAAATGAATGAACCGTACCGGTTTAACCGTCATATTTACAATGTTATCATTTGCCCAAATACCGGAATTAATGGGAGATTTTGGTACCATTATAAATGGACTTTCAATTATTTGCGTTGATTGGCTGTAAAAAACAAGGTGATGTTTACACTTATCATAAGTTTTATCGTAATTCGATTAATTAAAGCTTAATCTCGATTATTATTTAATCGATATTACGTTAATTTCAATAATTTAATATTTAACATACAAAATACAATATAATATAGGTAATATTACAGTGGCAATAATAATAATAATAACATATAATGAAGGATGAAAGGATGGAATTGTTGATGAATTCTTACCACATCTTTGAATTCTAAACATAGCTAAATTTATCCAAACTAATCGATAAAGAAACAATGTAATACAGACGTTTATAAATATAAAGATCTTTAATCATTGGTAATTAATTATAATTTTTAATTCTTGCTAATTATAATCTTTAATTCTTGCTAATTGGAATTTTTTCCTGAAAAAAGTAAAAAGAAAAGAAAATGGAAAAAAAGAAGAAATAAAGATAACAAACTTTGATGCTGATATTATGATTGTAAAAGAGAAGAAGCATGTTGTAGTACCCTGTTGAAGATATGGGCATTGTATACCTGATGGACAAGCACAGGTATTACCATTAGGTAATGCAAGATTAGGATTGCTATATTGTTGCAATTGAATTGTCACCAATGCACCAACAGTATCATTAAGCTAAAATTCATGAAAATTAAATTATAAGATAAATGAGGATTATATGAAATATTCCGGATCTTTCGTTTTAAAAAATTGCCCGGAATGATACACATCAGGAAATGTTAAATGATTAGATTGGTTAATTATTTGTTGAATATAATGATTTCTTCAAAAATATATTTCAAGATAGTAATTATATTATCAATCGTGATTAAATTAAATAACTGATCAAATCTAACATTGATTAAAATAAAAAAAAAAATTTCTGTATAAGTAAAACAATAACAAGCAGTATAATTTTATAACAACATAGTAAATTTTAAATCTTATAAAATACGGTTTGTTATAATTAACTATTAATCTACCTATTTGGTAATAATCGAAGATATCTTTTATGAAATTTGATAAAAATATCAATTAAATTTATAAATGATAAGAAAATGTTAATTTCCTTAAAAAACAACAATACTAAATTTTATCATATCAAAAAGAATATTAAAAAACAATTTATATATAAAAAATTTTACTTAAAAATAATAATTAGTTAAACTTACAGTAATTTCTGAAATCTCTAACATCGTATAACAATGATATTAAAAATAATAATAAAAATAAATATGAATAAAATATATTTCGACAATTTGTAATATCATGATGATAATTCGTAACATTTCTAAATTGCAGTTGAAAAAATTTAAAAATTTTTATAGTACCATAAGTTTCTACTACTTACATTATTTACCGGAATATTTTTAAATTTTGCCCCAGGATTATTTGCTAGTATCGGATTGATTTTTTTAAAATCTTGTAAATATGATGGATATCGTTGTTGATATTGAAAATGCTTTCGTATTCCTTGTTGTGATTGATCAAATCTGAATTTACGAAAATAAAAACAATCATTAAAAGAGTTTTAATTCAATCAATTATTTGTTTAATGATTTTTATTTACACCTTCGTAATATTATACATGTTATTAATTAAAAATGAATTAGTTTTAAAGTTATTTAAAAATTAGCGATAGTTATTGTGTGTTATTAGATAATCTATAGCAATGATATTTATTACGCACAATAATTTAATTAATAAATTAAATATTTAAAAATAAACCTTTGGTAAGATTGCTGAAATGGGCTATTGAATAATTGTTCATTAATAACAACAACAACAACAAATGATGAAAATATTTGAGCAATGAAAATGTATCGTATCGAATAATTCAGTTCAAAATGATTGTTGAAAAAGATCATGATACGCACTTCTTAACCTGTAATGCAAACAATTAGCTTATTACGAAATGGTTGATGGACAATAGCGCCGAGTCGATGAATGCTAATATAGTGAAACCATTCTTACACACCCATACAACATACGGCATACACACATACATGCATATATTTGTCTACGCATTGATTAGCTACGAAAGAAACCTCATATCGGAATTGTTATCGAAAAGCATAGAAGGAGAATGGTACTAACACTTTCGGCATTCTAACATCGCCTAAGCTTTCTCTCTTTATTCTCATGTCATTGCTATCATCGGTACTGTTGTCATCATCTCGATCATCATCATCATCATCATCATCATCCATTATCATCATCATCATAACCATAATTATCATCGTTATTATGTGATAGATATAGCAAATAATAGACAGATTTGTTGCATGGACAAGATTTCTTATCACTAATCACTTATCATACATTTACATCATATACGGACAGAGCGACAAACAGATACACCGTATATCGTTCAAATTTAGTAAAATTGAGCAAATGTTTGGAATATTTTGTAGACAATTTGTTGTTCTGAAACATTTTAAAACTATCATATATTTATTGTACTTCTTTTCCTTCCTTCTTTTCCATTCTACTTCATTTTCATTTTAAATTAATATTTCTTTTATTTTGAAAAAGAAATATCAATTTAAAAAAAATGAGAAAAAAAATTTTTTCTTAGATTACTTAAAATTATTTGATATGTAATTTTAAATTGATTAGTATTGATTCAATTTATTCTGATAAAATTTTTGTTTATCACGTTGTAAAAAAAAATCAGTAAATATGATATTGAATTTAAGTAACTTTTAATTTAGCTTTAACTTTTAAGTAATTAACTTTAACTTAAATTTAATTTTAATTTTTAAATAATTTAAGATATTGAATTTGATATTGAATAAATATATGTTATCTATTGGATATTAAATTATTAGCTATGTATCATCGATTAGATGTAGATACTTTATCAATTAGATATTACGTTATTAAATGCAATATTAAACATTATCGATTAAATATTATCGATTAGATTATTAGATATAATATTGAATATTTATACTTCAATTAAAAATATATTATAATAAAAGAAATTGCTTTACATTTTTTAGCATCTGCTTTTTTTTCTGGCATATTTTATACCTAAATTTGGTGATTTTTAATTATCATAATTTAGTTATGATAATTTTGAAATTATAACGCATAGAATTAGACGATAATTATTTAGGACGAAAGTATGAAAGTAATAATTTAATGACTTCAAATTACAGATCATAGAAAGAAGAAAAATCATTTATTATTTGGTAAATAAGAAAATCATCTCTTCTAATTTCACTTTTTGTAAATTGAAAAATTTAAGAAAGCTTCACGAAAGATTCAACAAAAATGAGCCGAGGAAAAATATTCAATAAAAGCAGAAAATTGTTGCTAACATTTAAATATTTATGCTAAATGTTTGAATTGAAATACAAAAGTTTTTTGTTGACTATAAATTCAAAAAAAGTTTAGTGCTTAAGTTTTAATTAGCAAATTTCATTTGAGATATTTAAGCATTTTTAAAGCATTTTTATTGTGCTGTAATAAATTTGTTTGTTTTCATAGATTAAAGATAAATTGCTTGAGAATGAATTTTTGACAATCATTTTAAATATTGATTTTTTTTCAAAAAATGTTTTTTAAATGTTTTGGAATTATCTCGGATTTTTAAATTGATATTTCAAAAATATTTCTTTTCGATGAAATTATTCTTATTGCTGAAATGTTTCATTTTATTATTTAAATCATTCTATCATATTTTCCAGGTCTCGCTTATTTTTGTTAATTTCATTGAAATTAACAAAACTAAGTGAAGGTGATTGGTACCATTATATTTTCGTTATTCGAGGAAAATAGAATGGTACCAATCATTTTGTGTCTTTCGATTATTTTGAATATAACTTAAAAAGATAATTTAGCATTAATTAATGAAGTTTAATGGAGGAGTGCGGATGAATTTAAAGCATAGTGGCGTTGATGTTACTGTATATTACAGTGTGCTAAAGTTTATAGTGTTTTTTTTTAACAGAGTAATAATAACTGATAAATATTATTGTTATTAAATGCTTTATAAATTTCGATCTTTTATTTCAATGCATAATTTATTTATACCGAATGCTTCAAGATTATTTTCCTCTCTGACCTTTCATTCGAAGTGTTATACGATGAATTACCGTAATATGTTACTTATTTCGATACATACTTTAACGACGTTGATGTAACCGATTATTATTTTCTAGTATCTTAAGTATTTAACAATATGGATGGGAATAATTTTGATATATTGCTACCATACATTTCTTGAATATTAGTTTCGGTAGTGCTGTGAAGTAAACAGTGGAAGTTTAATATCTAAGTTTGATATTCCAAGATGTCTGCAAGAAGTGTAATACTATAATATATCTGAAAAGTCTAATACTGTGCTATTTGGTGTACTACGATTTTTCCCGGATATCTGGAATGGTATTAATTGTATATGAAATTATCGCCAATATATTTATAAATGAATTTCATGATTATCAATCATTAAATGAAATGTTGTCTAAGCACAATGTAATGCATAGTATCAACATTTTTATGAACAATTGAACTTCCGCAATACAGTTCTATCACTGAAACATATCGGGAAGAAGCACATGATATTATCTTCGACCAAAACGTATGAATTCGAATTTGTTACGTCTTTTTTCCATTTGAAGTTGATTCGATTCTGCAAAAATGTTCGAATTAAGAATGTGATTAGAATGATTATCAATTCGCATAAAATTTGTGATAAAGAAAATAATGATGAAGTTATAGGATTTGAATACTTATCTTTATCATCAACTACATGCACTTCATATATCTTAAATATTTCAATTTAAATAAATTTAAATTTAACACGCGATTTATGAAAAATTTCATCACAACTACATATTTGCGAAAAAATAAGAATCGCATACTAAAATGGAAATTATAAAAACTTCAACAACTTTTATCCTTATTTTCTCTTTTTTTCGCCCCTTCCACTAGTGCCAACCAGTGAGTAATAACTCTTTCACTTATATTAAGTAAGAGAAACAACGACGAAAAAAATGTTCTTTTCGTATCATCGTAATGGAATCGTTATCATTCGCAAAATGCCATCGTAAAGCGTATCATTGAAATGACATTTAGTTAACATTTAACAGACTCATTAATGAATTTTAATTGCTTCACAACTTATATTGAGGATAACGAATAGGAAAATAAAATGGGAAAAGAAATCATTAAATGGTCGTATGGATAGAATGATAGCCGTAATAGCACTATAGAAACTTATGGTTAAACTCTGAAAATTAAATGTTAACGAATGAATGTAATAAAATTTTAGATGTAATAAATGATTTATGATAAAACCTTAAAATTAACGTTTAGATAAATTAATTAAAAAAAAAATCATTAAATCGAGAAAATTAAATTATATCATATGATTAAGGTGATGGTAATTGTGCATATGGTATATTAAATCATGCCTTATAGATAAGCAATTCATTTATCTAGATCTTTGTAATAAATTGAATAAGAAATATATATATATATATGTGAATTAATTTAAATATATGTAGTAAATTTTCATAAGATTTGTTTTGCTACTTTCCAGAATTATAATGAAGCATAAATAAATCTTAAAACAATTCATTATCAGTGATAAAGATGAGATTATTTTGGATACGAAATAAACATACAATTAAAATTATTTATATTTTCCTAAATTTATTTTGTATAATAATTTTAAAATCTCTGGAATATTTTCTGGAAATTTTGAAACTTCTGGAACATCATTTAAAACCTCAGAATATTGTTTTAAAGTTTTTTGATCGTTTAGAATATTTTATGAAATTCTTAAAATTGCTGAAGCATTTTTTGAAATTTTAGAAATTTCTTGAATTATCTATTTGAAAAATTTGAATATTTTATTTTCATTGTTATTATGCAATAAATATTTTCAAATGTTAATTGATTAAACTGAAAAGTTATTTACAACAAAATTTAGAAAAATTATAAAATTAGATAATCATTGTTATAATTCAGTAAATAAATAAACAAAACGATTTTCGACTTAATAACGAAATGAAAATGAACTGTTCTCCTAAATTGAAATTTCTTCCGATGTATATAGCTTTCCATTTTGATGTAAAATCCTTCTTAGATGGATAATAATAATAATAACTCATACAACTAATATCGTAATATTCTAATAAATGTTAATTGATTAAAATAAAATCCATTTATTAAATTCAGTTATAGTATTATTTTTCAAGGAAAAAAAATCCCGAATTTCATACTTCTTATATTTTATTAAATGATTGATGTAAAATCCTTTGATGGATAATAATAATAATAATAATAATAATAACTCATACAACTAATATCGTAATATTCTAACATATGATAATTGATTAAACTAAAATATTATCAATGAGCAAGTTATTCTAATCTATTTATTAAATTCAATTATCATATTATTTTTGAAGGAAAAAGAAATCCCGAATTTCAAACTTCTTTTATTCTATTTAATAATAACCATATATACTTCAATCATTCCTTAAAGAATACTTCAAAAATAAAAACAATCAAAATTTCTATTTATTTTTTCTTAAAATTTCCAAAAATAAATCATTGAAGAATATTTGATACATTTGTTGTATTATTGAATAAAATGAACACAAATTTCTTTCATCCCTTTTGAAATTATAAAATATTTTAAGTATGTCAAAAATTTGAAAAACTTTTGGTAAAGTACTTTAGAAAATATCCTTCAAAATTTTCAAAGTAAAATATGAAAAACCTTGTTGAACTTTTTCTTATTGTTAAAATAATTCTCTTTTCACTTATTCTTCTCTTTCATTTTTATTGCCACCCAATAATGTAACGAACATTTTTATTGTTTGTTATTTTCTGATGTAAGAAAATTTAACAATTTTAAAGAAGCAAACGAAAAAATTGTATTAAAATGAAATATTTCATTAAAACAATAGAAATGAATAAACAATTTAGGTGTTTTTATTTTTTTTTCTTTCAACAAAAACTTACACATCAAATATATAGCTGTTGTAAATTTAAAATTTAAGGAAAATTCTTGTAAAATATTTCAAATCATCAAAAAGGAAGTTGTAAGAAAGAAACGAAATAAAGGAAATAGTTGATATTAGAGAAGAAAAAGTTTAGAAATTTATTTGCTTGAAAAAATTGGAATAATTTCAAATAATTTATAGATACTGTAAAATAAATGTTTTTAATTGGAATAATAGCATATAATTAAATACTAAAAGAA